AATTAAAAAGTGATTATTTGAAAAAAAAAAAGATGACACTAAACCGATACGTTTGCTTCTCCGAACGCTTTATGCGTTCCGTAACACATGAGATGATGTCCGGTGGTTAAAAAAAATTGTTTAAAGCTTGAGTTGAACATACAACAAAAATACTTGAAATACACTACACTCAAGTATCAAAGTGTCACTAAACTGTTTAAAATTCAAATGATAATTTTAGTGATCAATATCCAACACTTAGGGATCACTATAGCAACGAGTGCATTGTAGACCTGACTCTAATGCCCTGAAAAGCATACCCAGGGTGTTAGAGACATTAAAAGCATTAGGAAAAATATTCCAAACACACTCTTTTAGTACTTTAATTCTATGCTTAATAGATTTTTCAAAGAATCCTTATTCAACACTTCATATCTAGGTTGCTATTGAAAATGGATAACTCCTCTCCAATACCAATTTTCATGTGTTGAATCAAAAAATTGCCTTTTATATTTATATTGCATTAGTATGGAGCATCTAGTATATGATGCCAGAAGTACTTCTTATAGATGAATATTTGCATTAATAATTATAATGCAGTTAAGTGTTTGTTACTGTAGTTGAAAACTATGATTAAAATAATTTCACAATATATCTTAAGTATCTATACTTTAAGTTTAAAAGCCAGTCTTCAGTCTATTTTAAAATGAATACAAATATAGTTGTTTAAATAGTTCTATTATATTATATTGTGACCTAACCAGCATTTTATAACCAAATTCTGTAACTAAATACATAATTAAAATATTAACTGTAACAAAATATTGAAAACAGATACAATCTGAACTTTTAAATGCTATTTTTATAATGAATAACATCTTTACTATATACTTTAAAGTAAAAATTTTAAATCTCATAGGTTTTAATGTTGCATTAATGTAGGGACGGGATTGCCTGAATAATATATTTTAATCATTTGTTTTTTTTTGTTTGTTAAGCTGAAGCTGTTTTTCATCAAAATATTTTGTTAAATTGCGCAAAAGATTTTTATGACAAATTTGTGTTTTATTACCCAAAATTACATTTAAAAGTACTTACGCCCATTAAGGCGCATATTATATGCAGCATACACAACATTTTCAGAGACTTTTTTAAGGATATGTCTGCCATATTCTGAAATGTTGCTGCAGAGAATGTGCTTCAGCGTAATGATTATACTCCTAAATTAAGGACATTTTAATGCTAAAATTTATATTCCTTTATTAATTTACTGCAATTTAATGTTAATGTTATTTAGTACTGATGGTACAATATATCTTAGCGACGTAAAAATTTATCACATTAAAGACTTAAAAAATATATGCAAATATATATAAGAATTTTTACATGTAAGTCCTTGTTGTAAAGGAAATAAAAATTACATCTTTTTATATTTAAATTTAAAATATTTTAATGTTAGAAGAAATGAATAATTAGTCTTTCAGAAGACATAACATTATAAAGTAGATATAGTAATTTACGATGGCAAGTAAAGAATAATATTGCCTTCTGTCAAGAAAACAACATATCGTAAGTATTACTTGCCATGATGTTAAGTACACCTATTTTTAAATTAATTACTGACTTTTTAATGTAATATATAAAAAATATAAATAAGAAAAGTTATAAATTTTTCAGTAACGAACCATTTTGTAGAATGAATTTATTCATACATAAGCATACTACCAAATTGTATTGTAGGATATGTATCTTAGAGTGATGAAAAGTAATTCTTTTGACTACAATAAATAAATAAAACAAAATAGATCATTTTTATCTCGTGTCAGCAGGCTTTCCTGGCTCAACTTTGTTTGGATATCTGAACATATGAAAGTGTCCCAGGAACTAAAAGGAATAGGAAAGGAAAGTTCTTTCAAACTCCGTAGAGCGAATGTGTTTCGATCATTTTATGTTATTTGCATTGCAGTTCATTCTAAGTAGTTATTGAAATATAATGAAATTAAGGTCTCTGTTGATAGTTAGTATTCTAGAGCAACATAATATTAATAAACATGTGTAGGAGCTATAAATGCTATTATTAATATTATGTTAAAGCTGTTTTGAGCTAGTGCACTCAAACACCTATACTCTTTTTTAACTCGAAGTTTCTTCTTCTTGACTAGATTATTATTTATCACTTCATTAGACTAAGGAATAATTGACCTCAGATCTGCATACCTCCCCGAAGAGCCTGTAACCATTCTAAGATTTGATAACGCAGTGTTGGTAAGTCTGTCAGTTTTCGCAAATAATTTCAGGGCTCTATCCTTTATGTACTTTTTGATGGCATCAATCTTGATGACCCTGAGGATGTCATTCGTCCTAATTTACCATGGAACTTTGAAAAGCCTTCTCAGAGCCTGGCTTTGTGAAATTTCTAGCACATATCATGCCGATATAACTAAATGCTGTGTCTCGGTGGCAGCGCTTAGACTACAAAAGAGTAAATGTTAATGCCGAAAAGTTGATATGAAGGTTTAACCTCAATTGATTACTAAAATTTCAACTGAAATTGGATTAACCGGACCAAAGATATAATGCTGTTGTTTATTATGAACGTGCAGTCCTCCTTTCACTATCACAAACCAATGAAGTTCTCCAAGACAAGGAGCAAATTTAGAGCATTAGCAGTTTCAATAATAACTGTAGAGTTTATAAAAAATTATGAATATCTTAAAATTTATTAACATATTTCAAAGTTCATTTAAATATTAAATGCATTTTTGAGTCTGATTATACTTCCATTAGGCATAAGTTTTGTAATATTTAAGAAAATGAATAAATAAAAAATAACTTAATTTGAAGCTTTAGAAATTGTTCAAGACCGCCAAAAACATCTTTCTTACAATGCGCAACGCTTTGTATTACCACTATGTCAAGATAATAGTGCAACACTTAAGTACCAACACAGCATATATATATATATATATATATATATATGTATATAATAAAGCATAGAAGAGACTCAAGTTGTATACTGCAGAAGAAAAAAATGAAATATTTAAGCTGTGGAATGGGTTTTCTGTTCACTTTTCACAAAAAAATTTAAAGTGCAAAAGAAGCCAAAGAGTGGTAAAGATACTCTAATACCGCAAGTGCAACTAAAACTGTAAGTGCAAGTACGAGTACCAGGGGAATAGCATGTATCATAAATGATTTAATAACTTCACATTCCTGGTACTTCTTTTGCAACTACTGTTGTAAGCATATTTCTGTACAATGACAGTGCAGACATAGTTCGGGTGAAAGCAATTTGAAGACACAAAAAGCAACTCATTCACAAGTCAAGCATTTGCTTCTTCTTAAAAATGACTTTTAAGGTTAACGACTGGCATTTTAAAGTTAAATCACGAAGAGAATAATTATGTCATATCATAATTATTATTACATTAAAATAATAAATGACTGTCAAGGGAATAGTAAGACTTAAGCAATAACTTAAGTAAGATGTCTATGCTTTAGGTATATCTTATGTTGTGTCTAAATTATTTATTAAACTGTTCGCCTTCTATAAACAAATTAATATGAAATATTAAAAAAAGTTGTAACTATAAAGTTCAAAATTGCTTAAACAAAAACTACACCTCATGCTGCTCAGTTGTCAGATTCTCGCAGGTACCATTCAGTTAATAATGTGCTTCACAAAAAATAAACCATTTTTCCATTTTTTCAGGTGCTCAATGCACAACATATGCTCCTTTCTCATGCTACTTTTAGACAAACACTGCAACTTTACTTTCGCTTTACTACCTCTTCTTCTGGAAGTTTTTGCAACCGAACTCTGAGGGCCAAATTCCTGCCACAAGAAATGCACATGTGGCAAACTTTTAAGAAGATTAAGCATGCTGGTTGTATAACCATAAAGTAAGATCAACTTTGGCTGAGATGATGGTGGCTTAGACCATTAAATGGTTACCACAAATGTACACAATTCCATTTAGACTGCTTTAGCGTTTGCATACACTTACGAAAAACAACTTTTAAAATACTTAAAGTGAAAAAAATAAATATAAGATATCAGTACATAGTTGAAACAAAAACACATACGAGCATTCAAGAATATGAAAGAGATATAAAACTTTAGATAAATAAAATTTTCAAGTGTGATCAGTTATACGACCCATTAAACAAATATATAATAAAGTCCAAGACTTAATGTAAAATTTTAATAAAAAAATCAAAATGTATTATATTTGCTTATATTGAATTTGTCTTTGCTTAACTCCGATTTTTCGTACGACTTTTGCAGGTCACACAAAATGGAGTTCCTTTACGAGTTCAGAAGTACCAACACTGAAAAACTAACTCAAATTCATTGGGAACTTATTCAACTTCATTTTTGACCACCTCTACTATTTTTGAAAATTTTGTGTTTTTTGCCTGCAGTTACAAACAATATTTGACGGTCCTTAATGCTGCCAATAATACTTCTACTTATGCTACTTCCAACTCTAGTTTCCTCGCATAGAATCAGTTCACGTTAAGTATACGTCATGTTGACCAAACTGCAGTTCTGTTCAATGGCTGCTTCTTTGCAATTTTAAGTTGTTATATTCTTTCCACTTTTGTGAGTACCCGCAAGTTTTAACTTTACTTTAAATTTATAAATTCCCTTTTGGAAAAAATAAATACCAAAAATAATAATAAGACAAGTACGAGCACCAAAGGAACAAAAGTTTGTCTGTAAGCATTTTTGTTTCAATTGAGTGGAAAAGTATTTTTGAGAAAATTTATTACTTTGATAAATTTTTAATATAAAACAGTACAGTAAATACTTGAAATACTTATTATATCCTTAGTGCATTACGACGTGATTGTAAAAGAAATGCTTTTGTTAGTAAGTTTAAGTGGTATTTATATATTCTTAGCAGTATTGCGATTTTGGTAAGTTATATTAATAACAAAATAACTAAATTTTGAAGCCACAAAAAAAAATTCTTTCTACTTATAATAATTTTGGTAAAAAATGTTTTATCTTATATGTTAAAAAAAAGGAAATGCAGCAAGATTATTGAAAAAGAATTTCTTTAACATACCATAGGTAGAACCAATTATTAAGCAGGTTTCACGTTATATCTAAAACTGATTGCAAAATATGCAAATTAATAAAGCTCCAACTTCGAACATACATATGTCTAAGTCAAGTACTGTTGTCGGCCAATTAGCTAATAAACACTGACTCTGCGCTTCATATTTGGCAGGGTAGGAGTTCAACTCTTGGTACTCGCAGGCTCAAAAAATTATTTATGAATAATAAAATATAAGAAATAATTCTAAGGCTACTGATGATGTTGTATTTGACAATACTCGAAACAGTCAAAAATTCAACTAATGAAAATAATATAGAATGAATTTTAGTTGTTGTAATTCACTACTGTTCGAAACCTCTCTACCAAGTAATTAATTAAATAAATAAATAATAATTAAATAATAAGTTAATGAAATTGGATTTTAACGGCAGTTATGGTGGTAGCGACTATATAGAAAAATAGACTATAATAGAAAAATAAAATTGTCAAATTTTTTTTGTGAAATATGTATGACTTCTGCCGAAAAGAAATTATTACAATATTCGAAACAGAATTATAGGGTCAGCGAAATTTTAATAAATCAACTAACATTTTTGTTGTTGTTTCTTCATTACTTTTCGAACCCTTCGGAAATTGTGAACGTACTGACGCATTTAGTTGTATTTTGGTTCATGTGTTTTAGTACTACGTACTTAAATTTTAAAACTTTAATACTTTTTAAAATATTTAAAAAAAAAAATTAAAGGAATAGTTATGCTCAATTGTAGAATAAAGTATCATAGCTGTCAATACTAACTAGAATGACTAAAATGAAATTGAGCAAATGAATTACTTAAGTACTTCACACAATTAAACTACAGTCCTTAATTATTTATTCAATAAAATTGGACAAAAAAAGACTTGGACAAAAAAAATGTTTTATAGTATCGTACATCATTTTTCCTTAACACATTCCAGTTTATGCTACTGAATATGATGTTTGGAACTATGTATATCAGAAGATAATACAGGTCTTTTTATGTAGTTCTGAATATGAGAGTACTGTGTAATGTTCAATATTAGATTAATAGAATAATAGGAAATAATAGGAAGTAATAATAGGAAACACATCTTCAACAGAGAGAGAGAGAGAGAAAAGGAAATGAAGAGAGAGGGGGGGGGGAGAGAGAGAGAAAGAGAGAGTTTCATATAAAAAACAATACAGTAAACTATTAATGATAACAATTGTTGTCAAACAAAATTACCATACACTTTACTCTTGTTAATACTCGTACAATATATACCGCGTATATATTGTCTTTGCTATAATTAATAAGAATAAAGTCCAATAAAAACTTACTCAAGAGCTACATGCGAGAAAACGTTTAACTTGTAAATGCATTCGCACATAACAGCCAAATCAACGCCCATTACTTCTTTGGAAGTTGCCTTTGACGCAGTTATTTAGAATATATATAATTTAACATTTTTAGATATAACCAACAACTAGAAGAACTATGCTTGCTGCTTATTTTTAAGTAATATCGCATGCCCATCCAGAAATGCAAGCTAAAATTAACGTTCCTCAAATCAGGAACTGCAGAGAACGCCCAAAGCATGCCTAGAGAAAAATTGTTGTAATCAATATTCTTAAGTCCTTTGACGGCCTAAGGTATATGGTACGAAGTAGCACATTGTGGAATATATAATCATTATGGAATATTTTTTAAAATAATCGTTATTTTGAAACAATTCACATTTTGCGGCTTATAATGAAAATATATGTAGGGCTAATAATATTTGTGAATACATAGAATTTACTATGTGCAAAAGTTAATTAAAAATTTGAATTTCCTAGATCAATATAAAACAAGTATTTTCAGTTAAACAAATTTAACATTTATTTAACAATTTTGAAACATGTTTGCAATAATATTTTTTATAACTTTTATAATAAGAAACTGAATGATACAAAACAACACGAACTTGAAAAATAATATATGCACATATATCGTATGCATATCTGATATTTGTATTAAACTGCTAATCTGATAATCAAGTTGGCACATCTCTTATACCGGCAAGCAACCACTTGCCGTCACTGGTTTCAATCGAGAAGTTATTGGGATAGTCCTCTGCGTAATCATTGTCCACTTCAAAAATTTCAAAAAAGTGACCACATTTCAACCTTTGATGCACAGCCAACTTAACCAATTCAGAATAATTTGCCTGACATTTTGGACAAATAAAAATAGCCTTCGGATCTTCAGTATAAGCGAAGTGTTGTGGGCTTAAAATTCCCATAAAATGTTGAAAGTTTCCTTCCACATCTTCGAGAATTATGAAATTGTGATTTTCTTTATTACCTGTAGGTGGAGCGAGATAGAAGGGTACTGTGTATATTTCCTGAGAAGTCTGGCAAAGCTGGAAACAATATAAATTTGCACCTTTCATACGCATCAAGTAGCTTTTATTTCCAGTAGCTTTGTACTTCTTATAAGCGTAAGTAATAGCCTCGATATCACAACTCTCCATCTTCTCATGTTTCAATTTAAGTTGCTCAGGATCGATATAAAATGCTACATTTTTAATACGATACTTTAAGGGCAGTGTCATTTTTCTAACACCGTTTTGAGAAAACCAACGTTCCATTCTTATATTAACTTTTATGCGTTGAATCTTAAAGTTTTCAATATCTGAGCATTCAAGTGAACCCATAAATATCTTGACCGTCTCTAAAAGCATCATAAACACCATATCAATACTTTCGATTATATCAAAATGATTTTCTATTGCTAACTCAGTACTTTCGAATACATATAGGCGATTTTCGATTTTTACATTGTATGCAACTTGTATATGTATAGTCTTAGCCTTAACAAATAGTAAACGTAGCATAGATGGTAGTACATCAGTCGATGCCTCTGATAAGAAATCCATATTTCCTTTATCAATGTTGTCCTTAGTCATCACAAATGTGCTTACACATTTACTTTCAACGATCAGGAGTTTCTTCCTTTCGTCTTCAGTCAACACCAAATATGTGCGTTCATTATTTCTTTCGTAGTGCTTGGCAAATGGTTCCACACGTTCGCTGATATTGTAACAAGTCAGGCAATCAATGATTCTTCCACGATTAGTATGCCAACGGTGATGAAATTCTCTTGTCTGTGGACTGTACACAGTATAAGTAAAGCTGGAATTTGCCTCTTCATAGTTGTTTATATTGCTGAAGTCATTTTTTTCCTTGACCTTAAGACCGAGATACTTATAAAAGTCAGACATCATGCAATTTTTAAGCATACACATTCGATACTTTTCGTTTCGAAATTCAGTTGACTTTAGATCGATGCTTGTAACCTTCTTTTTGGATTTACCAGAGGACTTCAAGAGTGGTTGTAAGTTCGCCATTTTTTACCTGTCCAAATGAACGTTTTTCTACAAAATATTCAGTCTTAAAATTGATGTAATTATGATAATTAGGTCGAATACCTATATAATTCGTTGTAATATTACTAAAAATTGCAAAATACTATTCCAGAATGTTTAGTTCTGAAAAATAAATTCGATGTTAGTTGAATGAAATTGATAACTGAGTTCAAAGTAAATTATTTTGAAATGTCAATTAATCGAATCAAAAAAACAAGCAATGAACAATTTTTGACAGAAATGTGAATACGAACTCAATATTTCTAAAAATTTAGTATATTTTTCAGTAAAGTCTAATTTTACACCATTTTGATTTCTGCTCTTGCCCTGTCTTTTTATAGCAATAAATAAAAGGCTGTTCCTTCAAATCATATTTAATTATGTTATTATATCTATTATTCACTTCTCTACAGTTTACAACTGCAAAAATTTATAATTTACTGTTAAAATAAATATTATGAATAAAAAAAACAATCGGTTCTTGCAATGATTATTATTTCTCACGATGGCACTTACCTGAAATATGGTTATGAAGTCTCGCTGGTTCCAAATTAGCAACGTTGCTGTAAAAAACAGGGTTGTCATTTAGTAAAAAATTAAAAAACTCATTTGTTTATTAATACAAACGAACCGATCAAATGTCAAATTAACGATAAAATTAACAAAATACTGACTTTTTGAAAAATGCAAATTTTTAACAAAAATCTAGAAGAGACTGGAATAATATGCATAGAAGTTATTTTCTTGTTAAATGCTGTTTTGATATTAAAAGAAATTCTGACTAATAATTATTATTCACCACACTTCTTGAAAAAGTCAGGGTTTGAGTAATTTTAAGTTTCCTATACTTTGAAAATTATATATTAAGCTCTTAAATGCTATTAATCAAATAAAAGATCTTTAAAAATATTACAAACGCTTTGCCTTTTTTTCAGTTAAATTGTTTATATTAACAACAAACAAATCAATAAATTTTATATTTAAGGGCTATGTTATACAGAAAGAAATGTCAAATTTAAAATTGTTGTTTTCAATGTATACTAAAAATTTGACAGAACATGACAGGAAGATAAAAATTTCAATTTACATATAGTCACGATGAGGAGGTTTGTATGACTTGTCACGTTAGTCAAAATAGTGTTTTTCAGTCAAAAACATAAAAATATATGTAGTTATATAAGGACATATATACACAAAATAAATATCCTTTAAATGTAGGAAAAAACGGGTCAAAATAGTAATAAGTGTAGGAATTTGACAATTGTTATACGACTGTCTATGCAATATGTTTGTTGGTTATGACCAAAAAGAGAGTTGAATTACTAAAGCGAACGCTTACGAACGAACGAATATTCCCAAGTAATCATATCTGCAAAAGTCCATACGTTCTCTATGGTTCGTCTCTGCCATTTGCAAAATAGTCCACAGATCCTCCATTTAGGTATTAACTCGGGAGGACTTTGGCAAGCTCTTAATCTCTATTTCTATTAGCAATCATTGGATAATTTTGTTTCTATATTGTCGTGATGAATATTTTCATATGTGTATAAAGCAAATCAGTAATAAAAGTAATGTATATAGCACCAAAAATTTGTGTAAAAGAATAGTATTGAAATATAACCATTAAAAATAACTATAACTAATTTATTTGCATTTTAACGTCAGTTATGATGGTAGTGCCTATTTTACTTAAAGAAACTATTGTATATAATATAAGTGATCTACTTGATCTAGTCTGACCGGGATGTCATAAATGTAAATAACACCTTACAGAGAAATATAGACCGCATGGTGGAATACTTTCAGAAATGGAAGATTAAA